TAATTTGTGAACCATGATAGCGCTTGCAAGATTGACTTCACAACTCCTATCAATGGCCAAGCTGCATGTTTTATCTTTGACACCACAACGAGTATAAAACCAACAATGCAACTGAGATTTGACGATGTCCAACTGCTCATTTACACCACGTAATGCCACTTATTCGACTCCCTTAGGATCAGGAAGAAGATGTTGTAAGCTAGCTTTTAAATGCCTCGTATTCGCCATGATGTATGAGGAAACCTGCAAAAATTTAGTGAAACAAAAGATATTTTTCCTCACCACACAAGCTCACATGTTTACACTCGTCACTCGTGTATCACTCAAGTGTTTAAAACACTCTAATGTTCTCAAGGTTCTGCTTGCTTCCCTTGAAGAAAGTAGAAAATTTCCCTGAAAAGTTCAACTAGCTTCGCACAAGAATCTACTCAAATGTGGCTCGTTATAAGCTGGAAATTTGAGGAGGTATAAGACAAAAATGACTCAAAAGAACTGGAAAAAATAATCTGCTGGAATTTGTTGGAAAAAATGCGTAGATGCACGACAAAAGGACTACTAGTTATGCAACACAAAAACTTGGCAAATGACTCTATACAAGAGCTGGAAATTTGGACACTACTCTGGCTGGAAATTACTGGAAAAATAAGCAGAACAACTGATTCAAGAAAGCTATAAAGATTTGACTCAATAACAACAGCCTAAAGAGTGCACCAACACTTGCTCTTGTTGCAGCAATTTAGGAAATAATGGATAGTGGAAATTTTTGGATTATTCCGGAACTAATCCCCTTTTCCTATCCCAAAAAGGATTTAACAGGCTGTAAAAACGAAATTGAAGTAAATCTGGACAGCCTTATTCAAGTTGGACTAAACTAATCAAATCCAACTTGGAATTGGAGTAGGGTTGGTGGTTGTTTTGGTGCTCTTTTTTTTTTATGGTCAGCTTTTAGGAAGGCATTTATCACAATCAATGGTCAAATTTGGAAGCTTTTAAGAGTCAAATTTCGTGGCTTAGGAAGGCTGGCTTTCAAGAGTCAAATTTCATGGCTGAACATTCTTCTTCTTATCAATGGTCAATTCTGGAGGCTTTCAAGAGTCAAATTTTGTGGCTTAAATGTTCTTGATCAAGAAAGAAGATTGTTGTGGTGATCAAGAAAGAAGATTGATCAAGAAAGAAAGAACGACAAGGATTTTGGCAGCTGGAATTTTGCAGCCTTGTTGTTTACCAAGATTTGGTTCCCAAAACCCAGAAACTTCAAGATTCTTTCAAGAATTCAAGATGTTAATTTCTAGAATTCAAGACACACGAAATTGAAGATGATTTCCTCCCAAAACAATCCAAGATTTCACGATTTGATCAAGACAGATTTTGGTTGGCTTCAAGAATCCCAACTAAAGTTCCAAGAACTTCAAGATTGTGGTTTTAAACAATCAAGAACTTCAAGAAACCCAAGTTTTGATCAAGACAGATTTCCAAGAATTTTGTAAGGTCAGCCAGCTATATTTTTTTTTTTTGTATTTTAAACAACAAGAACACAAAAAAAAGGCTGGACCAAACAAGGCTAACCACAACAATTAACAACAACTAGACGCAAGTTTATGACGCAAAAAATCTGGAAAAAGAACTCAAGAACACGATGCAACAAATCTGAAAATTGCGGATAGCAAACTTAGAACACGAAAACAGAATTTTGGACAACTTGACTCGAAAAGGAATCTAATAAAGGGATATAACATGATACCTCTTAACTAGTTCTGATACCAACTGTTACGAACGCCGACAACCTTGTGACGAAACCCGTAAAAGACTAGCTTCAGGATCGACAAGAGGACACCAAGTTTGGAGCGGATAACCTCAACCCGTTAATCACGTGGTTAACGAATCTTAGTATAATGGTAGAAGACGCCACAACCTAGTGCGATTCTAGATTGATAAGTCACAAACACCTAGAGAAATTCTAAAGTATTTAAGAAGCCTTGGAAAAACCAAGAAAACTCTCAAAATCTGATTTATTGATGGAATGCCTAAAACCGTTGGAAGTGTAGGCTATTTATAGCCTTACATAGAGATAAAAAACTAAATAATGTGGAACTAGTCTAGAATTGTGGGTTTGACTAAGACTAAGAATTGTAGGCTTGACTATTTCCATAAGACTAAGAATTGTGGGCTTGACCGAACCTTATGAGGTCATCCCTTAGGTAAATAAAGCAAGGCCATGGACCATTAAGCCCTTATTACAAACAACTTAACTAAAACAGCAAATGTGACTAGATGAGCAGGCGACTTGAGCTTATAAAGTGTGCCCACGCCTTACAATGACTTTGCTGTGGTGAATCAATTAAATGGCAGAAGACGTATCCTTATAAAGCGTGCCCGTGCCTTATAACGTCTTTGCTGCGATGAAGCTGAATGAACTACTTGAACTCGTGTAACCAGTCCTAGTGGGACTTGAACCTTATCCGATGGCATAGCTTGACTCGTATCACGGTTACCTTAAATGCCTAATTGAATCCTTATAAAATTGAGAATTTAGAAAATAAATTCAATAAGTACATGTCTAATAAGTTTCTCTTAAAGCTAAATGTGTCAAAATCAACAAAAGAAAATTATCCACGAAAATACAAACAAAGTTAGGAGTCCTTGCATGAAATCATAAAAATTTCAGGCCTTGGAGAGCAACTAAACTACAACTGAAAGACCAAACTAACCTTAAATTGTAGACTAATTACCATGCGACCATCACTTGGGCTATCAGAATTTCACAAAACAATTGGAACCGAATGCAAGCTCTATTGAGACCAAGCGGTGGAAATAAAACTAGCTGGGATTTGGGATGGTGAGTAACCCTTCTTAAGACAGCTGCCAGGAAGGGAATATACTATCAAATGTGCTGAGTAATCAGTGACCGAAAGGCTATAGTTTAAAGCAACAAAACTGGTAGTGCTGAGAGCAAAAACTAAAGCTGCCTTCCCTTCTTGCAACAGACCCTAGGGAGTGAGAAAAGAGAGCAAGGTTGAGAGAGTGAGAAAAGAGGGCAAGGTTGAGAGAGTGAGAACAAGAGCCTGGTTAGCTTCGTCAGTAACTAACCTAAGACTGGAAAGAACAAGCTGGAAAGGAAACTGAGTTCGTCTGCATTACCGAACACTTAAGACTAGAGGTAAGTGTGAATAACCACTTTCTGTTTAGTTGATTTAATCCGTTAAACATAAGCTATATACGTTGAGATAGCTAAGAATTATTTCTGGTGCACTTGAGTACGTATGTAGTATGCTAGATTCTAGTTAAGGAAATTAAGTTCGGTTGCAGGAAATCTTGCTTAGAACTGATGGTCTGTCGTCTAGCCAAGAGATATGTATGAATTAAACTGATAGCTATCAGAGAAGGACAAAACGAATAACTGGAAATGTAGGAAACCTACTCACCTTGAATAACAAAAACAGGTTACCCGTAGGAACTTGTAGGAATTGGAAATTTTGCTTGGAAGAAATCTGATGCAGGCTGCATCAGTTTAGCAGTCTTGCGCAGACCTGAGTTTTCATTCAATTTTCTTCTAAATTCTGGCCATAATCTGCCATGTTTTGCTTAGGATAATTTGTGATGGAATCAATATACTCTGTACCTTTGGTTAGCATATGAAGCTGATGAGGAACTAAGAGGAAAAAATTGCTACTAACTAACTACTAAAACCTATTGGCTTCGACTGAGCATAACAGTTAGGAAGTTCTAGATATCCCCTGCAACTAGGAGTGTCAACGAATCGAATCGAGCTCGAATACTAGTTTGATCGAGTTCGAGTTCGACAAAGTGCTTAAGGTTCGAGATCGAGCTCGAGATCGACGAATAGTAATTTTACATGCTCGAATTCGATTCGTAAGGAATTCGTGAGAATCGAATTCGTGTTCGAAATTGCTCAAATTGCGGTCGAGCTCGACCGGTCGAGTTTGAGCTCGAGCGATCGAGCTCGAATTCGAAATTGCTCGAATCGCGGTCGAGCTCGAGTTCGAACTCGAGCATTCGAGCTCGAGCTCGAGCTCGAAGGTCCATTAAAAAGGCAGTTAACATCTCTTGATACTCCACTAAGGTTCAGTTATTTAGCCCAAAAAAGGCCACGAAAACAAGAAAGAAAATAAAACCCCTACAATGGTATGGGTTGTACATAACAGGGTGCTATTTTAAGCAAGATACAAAGGAGGCAACTATGGGGGGATCCCAGGATACACAAGTTTGCCAGTGAAATGAACGCTAGAAAATAGATTACAACTGCCTTTTTAGCCTTGACATTTGTTACATGTTAAGGCTAAAATCATACATTTAATGCCTGGACACATAACACAAATAAGTCAATCTGCAATATCTTTTTTGGCCTTGACATTTGTTACATGTTAAGGCTAAAATCATACATCTAATGCCTGGACACATAACACAAATAAGTAAGTCTGCAATATCAAATTTGTCCTTCATTCAGCCTTTTATCTGAACCAAATCACTGAACAGCACTGTCCAAAGTCCAAACTTATCCATATGATTGAGAATCTAAGACAAGCCAGCTTTAAATATCAATTTAAAGCCAAAGCATCAAACTATAAAAAATTTAGCAGCCTAATGCCAAGTTGTCAACCAATATCCAAATTCATCCATACATATTTTAACATCAAAACCAGCATCCAAATTCAAAGATAAGTCAGCCAACCAACATTCACCAAGTCACACAAATAGAAACAACAAAGACAAAGTGTCAACAACTTAACATTCAAGTGAATGTCTTCAATAGGCAATGCCAATTGTCAAGAAATAACCATACTTAAAAAAGTGAAACAAATTTTACAATTAAAGCAGTAAAACAGCAACTTCTTGTTCATTCCACAATAATCCTTTCCAACTTTCCAATTTCAACTGCAGGCCCTATCAAAAAAAAATAATTTAAGTAATAAAATAGTAGTTGTAAAATGTAAAACAAGATATTTGAAGAGGAATCGAAGTGTTAAACACAAACAATGTACCTTTCCAATTATCACATTCATTTTATGGGAAGTAGAATCTCTTTTGTTGCCTTCAATTTCTGCAAAATAATAATAACAGTAACAATAACAATAAATAATAAACTAATTTTGTTTCAATAACATGAATTTGAAATAAACTTACTTTTATCTTCTTTTTCACTCCATGAATGTTTCGGCACCAATCTCCGGCACACATAAGCATTTCTACAGTTTCAGGAGCTAGTGAGGCTCTATAAGAGTCAATTACTCTTGTTCCAGCGCTAAATGTAGCCTCAGAAGCAACTGTAGTAATAGGAATGGCAAGGATATCGGCTGCCATCTTGGATAAAATTGGGAATGTGAGCCTGCTATTCTTCCACCAATTCAAACAATCAAATTCATGTCGCGGCACACTTGAATCAATCTTGATTGGACCCTTTTCCAAATATATGAGTAATTCAGATTCTTGAGGCGCTCCAGTTTGATATTCCCTCACATACTCATCAAAATCATCCCAACCCGAACCAGAAGCACTGCTTTCAGAAACACTACTTGAAGGAACTTGAGAATCCTTTTTATTTCCACCCTCACGAAGTTCATTTGCTTGCAAATATTCATTGTATAATTCAAAGACTGCATTTCTAACCTTTTCAATATTTTGCTGAGCTTCACTAGGGGGAAAAAGTTTAGGAAAGCAATATTCTATCGCAGTCATTTTCTGTCGGGGATCTAAGACAGCAGCCACAGCCATTAATAGATTACATTCTCCCCAATACTTATCAAATTTGAATTTCATCTTTCTCACCATGGCTCTTACGAAATCATCATCATCATTAGCCTTACTATCCAAACTAGCTTTATTCTCTTAACTTCTTGAAGAAACAAATTTGAAGTTGGATAGTTGCTACCTGAGATGATGTTCGTAGTTGCCCAAAATGTCTCTAAAATGCTGCATACTTTTTCAACTTTCTCCCAATCTTCTTCGGATGGACAGCAATAATATTGTACATCTCGTTCTCGATACATTGGAAAAACCTCTTTGAATTTGATTGCACAGTTCAACATCTCGTGTCGCGCCCTATTTTTTAATAAGAAAAATAAATAAATAAATGGTTTAGAAAGTGAATTTTTGATTTGAAAAATGAATTTTTGATTTACAAAGAAAATGAAGAAAATAATGGGTCTAAATGGGACATGAAAATGCGACGATTTGACCCAAAATATAGTTTAAAAAGGGTTTATTGAATGAAAAATGGAGTCGGCACTTGGTATAGAGTTAAGGTGTACCAAATCACCTAAAAATGGATTTTTAAAGAAAAAATGGAAAAACCCTTTTTAAACGACTCCAAATCTACGTAAATCAAAGAAAAAGGTTCGGGAGTCTCATTTGACGAAGGGGAAGGCAAGGATAAAAATCCAAAGCACCCCTTCGACCTAGCCAAGGCTAGTTGCGTGATTTAGTCAAAGATTTTCTTATTTTAACAAAAGAATTTATCACATTTGGATGTACTATATGGATGCAAACCCTAGACCTAGGGGGTATCGGGGGGCAAAATTTCTCTTCAAAACTTGAATGGTGCCAATCACATTAATTGTGATGCCCAATAATGACTCTTTGGAGAGGTCACGAATAATGCAAAAATATGAGACTCTAAGAAAAGAAAAGGGATAAAATAATTATAGAAATATACATGTCTTAAAGGAGTGCATCATGTCGGGTACGGGGGACTAATGTTCGTGACTCAATTTTCCCTTTAATAGAGGGAATACGAGCGTGCTAAGACTAGAAAGCCAAACTCGTCAGTATCCCATATCTAAGGGACTATCTCTAGTCTAATCAGGCAAAATGCACTAATCTACCCCCCTAATTTCCTAAATGAGATGCAAATCTAAATGTTATATATACGTAGGGGTAAGGGATATTTTATTAGGGGAAATATTATGTGAAAATGATAAAGATCCTAAAAAATGAAAAAATATGCATGAAGTGTAATGTAATCATACAAACATGATCTGACGAGGGAGGTCCCTAAGAGTCTAGCATTGGACTAGCCCATATCTACGAATCCTCACTAGCATCGGACTAGTGGGAAATCGGAACAAAGAGCCACAACTAGCGTTGGACTAGTGTGGTGACGGGAAAGGAATCACAGCTAGCATTGGACTAGTGTGATAACATGCATTTATTATAGTCTAAGAAAATCAGATGAAGCATAATAAAGCAAATAAACACATAGATCACATAAGGCACATAACACATATGCATGATATCTAGATGCACGTCCTAAGAAAGCGGTAACGCATAGCACATAGACATGCAAAACACGCATAAGGCAAGTAAATCAAATAAAGCCCTAACTATTACATTCGGGGAGGAAGCCTACTACAATCTAAGAGGGAAGGAATTAAATGAAATGATATAATAACCTAACTATTACAATTGTGGCATTCAAGTGCCTTTCAAATGATCAAAAATTGAACAAAAATAAAGTAAAAATACTAAATTAAAACAAATAAAGCGAATAAATAAATAAATAAAATGAAAGCATTCAAATGGCATGCAATTGAGCACGTAAAGTCACATAAGGCACATAAGGTCAAATAAAGTAAAAAATAAAGGATAGAGTGTACCTCCCTTGAGTTGATGCCCTAATAGGGTGAAATTACTTATTTACCCTCCAAAATAAAAAAAAAAGGTCAAGGCACCAATTTATTTGGGAAAATTAAAGGAAATATGCAAACACAAACTCACTTTGGTTATAAAGCCCTTAAAATCATGAATTGAGTGCCATTTAAACAAAGCATGATGGTTAATCGAAGTAAACAAACAGTGAAAGTACAAAATTAAAGCTGCCAAGGACTAAATTGCAAACATCAGAAAGTTTTTATGGCCTGATCATGATTTCCAGAACTTTGGGGGGCAAAATTGAAGGAAAGATGAAGTTCAAGGACCAATTTGCAATTGCAGCAGGGACTCTATTGAAAGCATTTATGAAAGTCTTGGGGTCAAATTATGAAATTCTAAAAACTTTGGGATTAAATTACAAAGAAATGGGAAATGAAGGGACTAAAATTGTAAATCAGAAAATAATCATCTTCTCCAAACGACTCAACATCAGACTACATTTCGTTCCTCCTTGCAGACGGCAAACGCCAAAACAATTCGTCCTCCACTATAGCCATTCAAAAGATAACAAAACTAGCACAAACTCCCTCTCCCACCAATTCAAAATGGAACGCGGATTCATACAAAGGAAAAAATGAGAAACAGAAAGAAAGACAGAGAAGGCAAACACAAGCATATCAAAATCCCTCAAAACTGTGCATTCTGCCTTGACAAGCATTAGACTTGCTGAATATTCGTTTCTTCACATGCAAAAATGCAGACAAGTCGTTTTTTCAAGTAGAAATTTCATTTGGGCATTTCATCGAACAGGAAATAGGCATTAAAATTTCACCAGATTTTTGTTCGAATTGAAGTACGACTAGCCCAAAAATTTGTCAAAAAAAAAACCAAGGAAATTCAGTCCAATCAAGCACGTAGAACATGTATGTTCAAAATTGTGGACAATCAGTAGGCAATTTGCAATACACAATTCCCGGTTCTGAGAATCTTAAGGGCCTAAACTTGAACAGAAAATGAAACTCTAAATGAAGAGGATGACTTACAACGCTTCCTCAATGAAGATTTGCAGGCGATGGTGGATTCAAGGGAGGTGATGGCAGCTTCCTTCGAGCGGCGGCGGCTTCAGTGGCGGTGAGTGCAAAAACGAACAGCAGCGGCAAAAGAGATGCGCCGATGCTCTTTCCTCTCTTTCTCTCGTCCGTCGTCAATTTCCTTCGTCCAGACTTCTTTTCTTCCTCCTCTGTTTTCCAATTCCTCCGTAGCTCCTCCTCTGTTTTTCTTGTTTTTTCCACTTCGTTCGTTTTTCCCGTTTCTTCTTTGCTGCTCCGCTCCTCTGTCAGCCGCCGCCCCTTTCTTTCCTCTCTTTGCTCTGTTTTTCCTCTTTTCCTCGTTTCCCCGATTTCTTTTCGCTCTGTTCTTTTCTTTTCCGCAGACGAAAAGCCCTTGCTACTCCATTTCCTTCTAGCCGTCTACTCTTTGGCTCTCTCTCTCTCACCTTTGCTTTCCCAATTTTCCAGATTTTCCCCCTCTATTCTTCCTTTTTTTTTTGCTCGTCCGAACCCTCCTCCATTGTCTCAGATTTTCCCCCTGTTCTTCCTGTACTCTGTTTTTTTTCTTTTCTTCGTTTCCCTCAGTTTTCTCTTTTCCCAGCCGACTACTCTCTTGTTTTTCCTTTCGCTTGTTCTAGTTGGGCAGCTCTCAAAGCCTCTCCCCCAGATTTTTCCCCTTTGCTTCTACTCAGCCCCGCCGTCTACTCTTTCTGATTCTCCCTCTGTTTCTTTTCCTCTCAACCCCTCAGCCCGTTTCTTCTTTTTTCTCTCAGTCCCGAGCTCCCTCTCCCTTTTCTTGGCTTGTGGCTCTTTTCCATTTTTAAAGGCACCTCCAAAGACTAAACCTAATTTGAAAGGCCAAGATTTCAAACCCCAAAGTAGGCTTATGTGTTTTATTCTTGTCCCTTTGATTGACTTTTTCTTTTTTCTTTTTTTTCTTTTTTTTCTTTTTTCCTTTTTTCCGAAAATTTAGTGCAAAAAACTCCTAATTCAATTAAAGTAAGACAAGAGACACGAATCAAAACAAAAAATCAAATAAAATAAAAACCTAGAATCGAAACAAACAAAATAAAATGATTAAATGATTAAAGTTTAATTAAATGATAAAATGACTTAAAAATAAAAGACTAAAAGTAAATGAAATTAATCAAAAATAAAAATACCAGTAAACAAAAATACCTTAAAATTTTGGTGTCTACAGTTTGCCCCTCTTTGTCTGAGTTTTGGAAAAACTTGAGACAAAAAAGCAAACACCAAATACTTACCTGTGTTATTTGGCTGCGAATGACTCGAACGACTGACGCTTTTGCACTAGAGACTGTACAAAAATTTAAACCATGGGACTGACCCGAATGAGAATTTAATCATGGGACTGACCCGAACGAAAATTTAAACATGGGACTGACCCGAACAAGAAATTTAAAATCATGGGACTGACCCGAAACAAAATTAAAATCATGGGACTGGCCCGAACAAAATTTAAAGTCATGGGACTTGACCCGAACAAAATTAAAATCATGGGACTGACCCGAATAAAAATTAAAATCATGGGACTGGCCCGAACAAAAATTAAATCATGGGACTGACCCGAACAAAATTTAAAGTCATGGGACTGATCCGAACAAAGTTTAAAATCATGGGACAGGTCTGAATAAAATTTAAAATCATAGGACTGACTCGAACAAAGTTTAAAATCATGGGACTGGCCCGAACGAAATTTAAAATCATGGGACTGACCCGAACAAAACTGGGGACTGACCCGAACAAAACTTAAAATCATGGGAACCCGAACAAAATTTAAAGTCATGGG